TACTGCTTCTCTGAAAATGTTCTTGGCTCGTTGTCAACATAAAAAGTTCACTTTTGCAAAATTAAAGATTCCCTTCACTCCTGGTTTTACCTTCATGATATTTAGATGTCTTCTTGAATAATATATGGCAACACTGTCTTTATATACTGTAAAAGACAAACCCTAAATACTTTAAAACAGGTAGAACACCTTCGTCTCAAAAAATGTAGATGGCATTCCTATACATCCTTATTTGCATAATATACTCAATATTGCTCCAGATATCAAAAGTAAAACAAAAATTCATTTCTTTCATTATGATAAGGAAGTGTTCCATGCAACAAACTGTCATCAAAATAATTACTTATTTGGGTTCAGTAGGCTTAATGGATGTTCTACCTGTCTTACATGTACCTCAAATGACAAAATTATTCAGTATAGTGGACCTATGAAATAAATTGGATAATCCAAAGAGCAGAAGCATCCCCCTCCCTCCTTCTCCTTCTCCCTCTCCTCCCCTTCATGACTCCTGTTTTGGCCTACTTGTCATTTGTGTTTCTTGCAGTCAGATTGGGCCACTCATAATACACTTGGAAACAACCACCTTCAAAATATATCCTTGGGAATGTAGATGCAACTCATTTATTTTCCTTATTTCTCGTTTCCTTGGCTTGGCTTCACATCCTTTAGTTATTGTATTCGTTGTCAGTTATTGCCTGAAGCATTACTTACTGAAAAGTAATACATTCTTATAATCCTCCATCGTTTTTCCAACAGGCAACATCAGGAATATTTTCACGTCGCATTGTTTCCTGAAGCCCAGATTTTCATGGTATCTGATGGAGACGCCGTTCGAGCCATCCACGACCGAGCGCACCGGCAGCTTCTTCTGGCGGAGCTTCTCGACCATGGTGAGCGCCACCGCCCTGCCCAGCCCGCGGCGCCGGTGCTCGGGCATGGTGAAGATGTTGGCCAACATACCGATGTGATATAGGTAGCTATAGGCGACGAGAGTGCGTTCTGTCGACTGCTTTGAGGCCGAATCGTCGTTGACGCTTGTCTGGCGACTGCGGATGGCCACTGATGGCAGCTTGGCCATGAGTGACTCCAGGCCTGCTTGGGTCTCATGCCACCTGCTCTTCCATCGTGAGACGATTGTAGGTATGTCTTCAGGTTGGAGACTGTCGATCGAAAATCGTTCAGGAAACCTGCTGGTGTGTAGGTTTTAATACTCCTTTCTAGATTCATCATATATCTCTTTCATCATTGACAGATATTCACCTGATCATTGGCTAACATTCACAATATAAACTTACTTGAAATGTGGAACATCTGGATTGTCCAAGGAAAAAAGATGCCCATCAATTATCTTGTGACAACACATCTGTGCAGTTGTAAGCCTTCCATCCGCCATGTATTGTTGCAACTGAAAATTAGTGTCACAATATCAGTCATCTAACACATTGATTGAACTTTTGAAGCCTTTTCAGAGCCATCTGAAATATATTAATAAAAATGACATAAATACGTTTTTTTGTAAGCTTACCAAAGCTACACTCTTTCGTGGTGAACTGACCTTATTGTAAACAGCAGTGGGACTAAATTTGAAGTAAGTAGGAGCAGACCAGTCCCAGTGAGGCAGAGTCCTCAGCATTCTTACAACATCCTCGTCGTCCTCCTTCTCCGTGTCCCAGAAGATCGTCACACTCTGTATGTTTGGCTGTTGGTGGAATTAGGCACTAAGAGACGATTTTAGAACTGGCATTGTCTTCACTGTTACAGTCTGTATTACCATCATATGCACACACACACACACACACACACACACACACACACACACACACACACACACACACACACACACACACACACACACGGATGAGCCGTCCGTACTTGCGAACACGAGGGCGTGACCAGAGCAAGAGACGAAGGTTCAGGGGCGTCGGGAATGTACACCTTGACGTCAAGTATCTGTTGCAACTGGCACTTGAGCATCATCTCGATGAACCCATGGATCTGTTGGGGAAGGGAGATGACTTTGTCAAGCTATGGTAACTCTCGATCCTTGTTAAAATGGAAGCAAAATATTGAAAAACAACAACAACAACATGAGATTAATAACACTAAGTCCTTGGACACCTGAAAATGATAGAATCAGAGCTTACCCCAGCAGAGTAAGGCAGGTACCGGGTCATCTTGTCCCTGAGAGCCTCAAGCTCCTCCCCCGACACCCGACGGAGGACCCCCATGGCACCGGCGGCACTGTTGTGAAGTGGAATCACTCGCTTGGGGAAAAAAACGTCTTCGGATCGTAAATCGACTCGTTCTAATAGGAGCCAAAAGAAAGCTCTGGCGGAGTAACGTACGCCATCCATATTCAGGCTCCTTCGGCCAATCACGTTACATGTAAACAAAAATCGATTCCGCGCAATTTTTGAACTTTGGACGCAGCAAAAGCACCATAAAATTATGTAAATAAAGTTTGTAAATAAAATTTTGCTCAAATATATCCATCATGTGG